AGCAGGTGAGTGTTAGAATTGGAAAGCTGAGTAGTCTAGATTTGTTTATTGTTATTATTGGTGTGTGTGTGTGTGTGTGTGTGTGTGTGTGTGTGTGTGTTTGCATACAAAATACACAAAATGACATTTTCAAGATAGTTTTCTTCAGACAGCAAAGGAAAGCAGTCCTGACTCATAGTGAGTGGGCCCTGTTTTTTGGCTCAAGCTTCCGATCCTGCTGCAAAGAGTCTTCTCTGAGTCAAGGGTGATTGGTGCATGTGAGGAAACTATGTGACAGTGTGAGAAGGAAGACTGTGTTCCCACTTATCAGCCACATGGTATCGAGTAGAGTACTCAGGGCAGAAAACAGTCACACAGAGCAACGCTGAGCAAATGAGAAAATAGACAAAATGTATAGCTGTATGAAAATATTAAGCAGCAACATGAGTAAAAGTCTTGAAGCAGCAGAACGGACAGGTGGAACTCAATGGAAGAGCATTGGTCTCACACAAAGCCCTGGGTTTGCTCTCAAGCACCACAAAAATGAGAAACAAGCTAAGTGTTGAGACAGTGTTGCACAGTATCAGCACCAAGGCAGAGCTGAGTGTGGCCCAGAGGCATAGGAGGCCCATCTTTGCAAGTTCCAGGTCTGCCTGGTCTTCATAGCATGTTCCAGGCCCACTAGGGTTACATAGTAAGACCCTTTTTAAAAAAATATTTTTTAAATTGCATTTTTCTGTGTGGGGGTGTTTTGCCAGTATGTATGTGTGTGTACCATGTGCATGCAGTGTCCACAGAGGCCAGAGAGGGCATTGGATCACTGGAACTGGCGTTACAGATGGTCATGGCCATCATGTGGGCTGGGAAATGAACCTAAGTAAGACCCTTTCTTTAGAAAAAATTTAAAAAGTAGCTGTTTGTGTCTGTCTGTGTCTGTAGAGATGGCTCAGCGGTTAAGAGCACTGGATGCTCTTACAGAGGCTCTGCGTCCCGTCACAGCCCCATAGGGTGTCTCCAGTTCAGAGTGTCTGATGCTTTTCTGATCTCCATGGGCTTCTGCAAGTGAGTCCGGTACAGCCAGGACTACAGAGAAACCCTGTCTTGTAAAACTGGGGAGAGAAGTGGGGGGGGGGCTGGTTTGGGAGATGGCTGTCCCTAAAGTGGCTTTTGCACAAACATGATGCCCTGAGTTCTGCACAACTAGGAGGCAGAGACAGTTGGGTTTCTGGAACTCTGGTCAACCAGTCTATCCTAATCTCACATACACACAAAATACGTGCGTGTGTACCCTTACACACGCATGCGTGCGCAGAGAGAGAGAGGGAGAGAGAGAGAGAGAGAGAGAGAGAGAGAGAGAGAGAGAAACATAAGTGCTATAAATATAAAACTAAAAAAGTTTAAAAGGCAAGCCAGGCAGTAGTGGTGCACGTCTTTAATCCCAGCACTCGGGGAAGCAGAGGCAGGTGGGTCTCTGAGTTTGAAGCCAGCCTGGTCTACAGAGTAAGTCCAGGACAATCAGGACCAAAGAGAAACCCTGTCTTGAAAAACCAAAAAAGTTTAAAAGGCCCAGAAAAGGTACATGTTGCTTATACTCATCAACAGAAAGATGGTGAGTGGTCCTTGTCAAGCAAAGCAGTTTTCTGAGCAAACTGCATTTCACAGACAGAAAACATAGCCTGAGTGTTAAAACACACTTATAAATAAGAATCTCTCTCTCTCTCTCTCTTTCTCTCTCTCTCTCTCTCTCTCTCTCTCTCTCTCTCTCTCTCTCTCTCTCTCGCAC